CCCGGCCTGCCCGCCCCTCCCGCGCTGTCAGGCTGCCGCGGAGCCCTGGGCCCCCTGTTCCCGTCTGCGTGCTGTCAGCAGCGCACCACCTTTGGTCAACAGGGGCACCAAAGAAGTCCGACACCACGTCCTCCCATCTTCTGCTTGGGGGTACTGGGGCTTGAGCCTGGGCCTCCACACTGAACCACACCCCAACCCTTTTCGTTTTGAGACAGTTGCTAAGCTGCCCTGGCTGGGCTCAAACGTGCAACCCTCCTGCCTCAGCCTCTCACGGTGCTGGAATGACAGGTGTGAACCTCCTTGCCCAGCCCGACTGCTGTCAAGATGCTCGGAGGGAGTCTTCTCTGAACAGCGGAGTGGCCGCAGAGCTTCAGTTCCAGGACCCTCCACCCGGCTCTTCTCCAGTTTCTCCTTCAGGACTCGCCTCATGGTGGGCGTGGCCTTCTTCGGCCCACCCCCAGCATTCCTTCCTGTTTCCCGGTGCCGGTTTCCTCTTCCTGTGACAACCACCTTCCTCTCATGTGTCCACCCATCCCTCCCGCCCGGGCTGTGCCGTCCGGCGAGCTGACCCTCCCCTGGCTCGTCCTGCGCCTCGCCGGCCTCTCTGGGTGTTGTTTCCCGTTTCTTGCCGGTCGCCCCTTGGGCCCTCACCTGGTATTTCTGTTGCTGGTTCCATGGGAAAGCTTCTCACACTTCCGGGGCAGGGAGCAGCAAAGCTCTGCACTCCCGCCCCACCCCGTCTCCACCAGGACCTTCACCCTGCCAATCCCCGGGGGAGGACGGACCGGCACACCCCTGCCGGCCCTTCTCCAGCCCTGGAGCCCACAGGGTGCTGTCAGTGATTCGGGGACATGGGTGTCAGGGAGATTGGAGGCCATTCCTCAGCGTGGCAGAGCTCTCTGGGTGACCAGAGGGCCCTGCTGGGTGGAGGAAGGCCACCGTCCCTGCGAGGGTTCCCAGACCCTGGCTGGGGCCGCACCTCAGGCAGACCCAGCCCACTTGTCTCTGTGCATGTCCTGGAGCCTGGACGCGTTCAGCACCACCGCCACGCCCACTGGGCGCCGTGGGCCGCCCGCGGAGACAGGGCACTGCGCTGGGGGGACGCGGGGCAGCCTGCGCACCTCGGCAAGGGCCCAGCAACGGGAGCAGCCCTGGCTCCCTGGAGTCCCCGACGGCCCAGAGGCTGGGGTGACACAGGGCACCCAGAGTCCACGCGGCGACAGCACTGGCCTGGGCAGCCTGGGCGCACGATCCGGACACACTCAAGCTAGACGGCAGTCACAGAACTCCCACGCGTCACAAGCACCAGGGAAACCAGACCTGGAGCTCATCGTGGCGTCTCGTCCTACACTGGAGGCCTGGCCCTGGCCGAGCCTGGATGCAGAGGCAGCAGGCCCACAGCAGCCTGGCACTGGGGCAGGGCGCAGGGCAGGGAGCGCCAGGAGGTCCCCGTGGCCCTCCGTGGGCAGACGCTGTGGCTGTGTCCCTGTGTGGAAGCCCAGCTGACAGGAGCCGCCTCCACCCAGCCGTGGGGCGAGGACAGTGGGCAGGCAGTCACACCAGCTGCGTCCCCAGGCAAGGCCACCGCCCAGGTAACGGCAGCACCCTGCTGCCTCCTCGCGCTGGCCTTCTCGTCCTCGGGCCAGCGCCGCCTCGGGGAAAGGAAGGGGTGTCAAGGCTGGGGTCCCGGCAAGCAGGCTCGGCCCGCAGCCCACAGGTTAGTCTCATCAACCCAAGGGTGCCTTATGGAACACAGCACACCGCGGACACTCAGAGGTCCCAGAAGACGTCACTCCCCTGAAACGTGAGCACAGGTCTCGGGTTCCCGCCATCGTCCACCCCAGTCCCTCCGTGGAGCCCCTGGGTCCCCCGTTCCAAAGCACTGCCATCTAGGGAGAGCATCAGGGCCGCTGCCGCGCTGGGGACAGGACATCAGGCCAGACAGAGGGCCCTGAGCCAGGAGGGTGGGGCCCCAGGAGGGGACACGGAGGCAGTGCCCCTGGGGAGGGCAGTGGCCACCTCACCTGGGTTCTCGTGACTGGCCATCTGCTGGTCCTCAGAGTCCAGCGGCCCCGGAGACCAGGCCTCTTCCCGCAGCTCCATGTCTGGGTCCCTGCTGGAAGACAAGACACAGGACAGGGCTGGGGAGGGCAGCGCTGTGCGGAGCCCACAGCGCAGCTGCCCAAGTACAGAGAGGTAGTGTGGGGTGCCCTGGCACACGAGGGGCACAGCCAGGGCAGGGGCCCAGGGCGAGCGACCCCATAGCGTGCCTCCCCGTCCTTGAGAGTCCCAGCGAGGCCCAGCCCTGGATGGCAGCAGGGAGGCCAGCTGGGACTTGCCCTGCAGAGGCCAGAGCAGGCACCCAGGCCTCTTCACACAGCAGGTAGGGCTCCTGCAAGGCATGGGAGACCACAGACCAGCTCAGCCGGTCCACAGCCTGGGGCCCGCAGCCCCTACCCAGGCGCAGGGCAGAGGCTGGTGCAACCAAGCACCTCTTGCGTTGTGACTCCCGCCTTCTCTGTACCGCAGAGGAGGCCATTTTCCTTCTCCGGCACCGGGGCGAGCCAGGACCTTTGCACTTAGCTACACCCCCAGCCCTTTTCTCTCTATTGTATTTGGTAACAGGGTCTTAGCTAAACTGTTAAACTGTCCAGGCTGGGCTGGAACTTGTGATCCTCCTGCCTCAGCCTGGTGTGTCGCTGGGATCACAGGCGTGCACCACCGCACACAGCTGGGAATGAAACCTACCAGGAGCCGCAGAGGCGGGCTGCCTGCAAAAGGCTCCCGGGAAGGAAACAGGCCAGCAGGCAAAGCCCGGCCACACAAGCCCTGGCCCACCCGCTCAGCCTAGGCCAGACTGCGCCGAGAGCTTGTTCTCCCACGACGGGAGCCACGTCCTGTTCAAGTAAGGCCTTCCACGTTCCTCCTGCTAATGTCTCACGGGGACCGCTCCTCTGGCCGCCCGCACACACAGCCCTCAGACGACACCAGTGAGCGTCCAAGCCAGCACCTCTCCAGGGGACACAGGCAGAGCCACCGAGTGACCCTGGAGTCCCACTGCTGGGCAGAAGCCCAAGAGCGGAAACACGTGCACACAGAAGCCAGCAGACCATTCCAGTACACAGGCAAAGAGCAGCACAAGGCCACCACCTCAGGAGCGTGTGCAGCCACGGTCCGGTCAGGCCTCGGGCGGGAGGCAGACTGGTGGCCGGGGAGGGCGGGTGGGAAGGGAGCAGCCAAACAGGCACAGGCTTCTCAGAGGTGAGGAGAATGTCTGGGACTGGGCGGTGGTGATAGTTACGCAACTTTATGACTGTGTTAAAACCACGGCATGCAGCACCTCAGGAAAGCAAATTTTCAGCTTGCAAATATCTCCAAGGAAAGTAAACTTTTAGAACAGGCACAGGGTCTGATTACAACACCACACACATTTAGAATGCATGAGAAACACAGGCCGAGCCTGCGCCTGGCACTGCTGGGGTCGAGGAGGCAGAGAATGGCCGTCCTTCACGTCCTCCACCAAGGGTGATAACGTTTCTACTGAAACAATAAACTCAGCTCACAGCACAGGGGTTCCCTGGCACGGAGCTGCCCTGGCCTCCTCAGACTTGGCTTCCTGCAGGCTGGGGCAGAGGGCAGCACACAGGCCTGCCTGTCACCCTGGGTGCAGGCCCTGGCACACGGCAGGGTGCGGGGGAGGGCTGGCAGTCCAGGGCTGTCCAACGGCCCACGGCGACAGCCTCCGAGGCCTCCTGGTCCTGCAAGCCACACTGATGGCCCAGCTCCACAAACAGCCAGACTCCCCATGCGCAGGGGAGGCGCATGCGCGCTCCCGGGCTGGGAGAGCAGCCCCAGGAAGCCTGGGGAGGATGGCCCGTCGCCTTGCGACCCCTGCTCTGTCTGTGCCCCAAGGGTTATGCTCGCCTTGACAAGATGGGACAGGCGCCAGGCACTCGCCTCCCGGCCTGGAGCTGGGGCTTGGGTAACAGATCAAGCTCTGCTCCTGCCACAGCCCGGATCACACTCTGCACCAAGGGCCCAGCACAGGCTCTGCGCGGGCCACGTCTCTCTGCACCCGGGGCAAAGCCCTTGTGGCAGACTGGCTGGGCCCCACAGCAGGTGCACCATGACCTCTGGCACCTGCTGCTGGCCAGGGACAGAGCCAGGAGGAACCCACAGAGCTTCGAGAGTCAGAGCAGACGCTGGTGGGGACGAGCCTGGGCTCCAGAGAGGCTGAGAGCGCACACCCCACGCGAGCCTGTACCACGCACTCGCCCTGAGCTGCTGAGCCGCCCGTCCACGCCTGTGTTCCCTGGGCCCACTCCCTGGCTTCCCACACTGCAAGGGGAGGTGTCTGAGGCCCAGGGAGGCCCCACCTGTTCCCGGAGGGCCGGGAAGGGCTGGGTGCCGCAGGCTACAGGGCACCGCAGGGCTGTGCAAGGCGACCTTAGTGCCATCCAATCACCAAGGTGAGTCAAGGCTCCCAGCAGCCCCAGCTGGAGCTGGTCCCGGCCACCCTGCTGACCTCCACCCCACAGAGCGAGGGACACCTCCCGGCCCACCCCAGAGGGGCCCTTGAGCAATCCAATTAGCACTCTCTGACAGGCCTATTAAAACCCTGATGAATTATTGTTATTATTGTTGTTATTAGGTCCGCCCACCCCTCTGGATGCCTGCCCACCAATTATCCCCTTTCTTCTGCTGCCAATCTCCCCTCCACCCCACCCTGCCACCGGGACTGGGTACAGGCTCAGAAGCAGCACCAACCCCTGGGGCTCTGCAGGACTCCCCCGCCTTCTGCCCGCTGCCAGCCTCCAACCACCTGTCACTGACAGACACCCGACCCTTTGCCTCTGGGCCCTGCTGCCGCTCAGCCACGCTTGACACCCCGCAGGGCAGAGCCGAGCACAAGGCCACAGCTCCCTTTCCGGAGGCCAAGGCCAAGCCTGGGGCCACTCCTCCCACACCAGAACCAACCACAGCTCAGTACAAACCACACAGCTCCCGCAGCCCGGTGAGAACGGGGCATGGCTCTGAGCAGCGCTTCTCCCGAGCGCGTGCACAGGGCCGGGAGCACCAGGCAGCCTGCGCTGCAAGGACAGCCTGGGGAGATGCCCCTCCTGGAGACAGCCCGATCCCCGAGACGCACAGCTGGGGAAGGTGACGTGACAGCGCAGCGGGGTGGGGACACCACAGGCCCCGAGTGGAGCTCACGCTGCCACACAGCAACTGGGCTCAGAGGTTCACGGACAACAGTCACGGGAGCCCCAAAGCCGGGACACCAAATGCCCGCCAGCAGGTGGTCTGTCCACAGCGTGTGTCCCTCGGCTAGAGCAAGGTGCAGGGCTCACACGTGCCCCACGTGGGCAGCCTCGAAAACACGCGCTGGGAAACGTCAGGCGCGGAGCCCTGGCGTCAGACCCTGCCTCTAAGAAAGGTCCAGAAAGAAAAGAAACGATCTGCAGAGAGGAAGCCGCAGGCCCCAGGGCGGGCACGGAGGAAGCAAGGGCTCAGCACAGGGCGGCTGCTAAGCTGTCCAAGGGCCCAACTGGACGGGCCTCCCCGCCTCCGCCACCCTTGAGCCCCCATGCGCCTCTCCCGTGCTCTTCCCGTGCCTCCTCCCGAGGTTCTTCTGGGCCCTGGGCCACACCCACACCGAGTCTCACAAGCTGCCGCTCCAGCCTTGGGGAGAGGCTTGAGGGTCTCGGGGACACCCATCTGCCACAGTGACCCAGAGCCGGGCTGGCAGAGCCTGTCCCACACATCCCCTGCACTCTGCTCAGACCTGGCTGGATGCGGCGAGGGCTCTCTGGCTCCCTCACAGGACAGGGCCAGCTTAGACGGATGGGCACGGGAGGTCTCAGCTGCAGCCGCCCCTGCTCCACGAGAATCTTCACCAACGTCACCCAGCTCCTCGGTGCCCTGCCCAGTGCCCGCGGCAGTCTGGTCCCTGAGCGCAGGGACCTTGGCCAGCTGCTGTCCCCGCGCCTGCAGAGCTGACTGCTCCCCTTCTCAAACTCGAGAAGTGGGGAACTGCTGAAACCAAACAAAACCTTCCGGGAGGCCGCAGTGGACTCTGGATGGTTACGGGGCATCGATCGGGATGTTGACAGAGGCGGCTCGGGTGGGGGGCCGCGAGAACGCTCTGTACCTTCCACTCTTCTGAGGCGCCTGAAACTGCTTATAAAAGTAATGTCTCAATCGTAAAAAGCCAGGCAAACAAGACCAACCCACAGACCCTCCCAGACCCAGCCCTGGCCGTGCTCTGGGCGGGCGCCCCCTCCACCTGCCCCTCCCCGTCCAAGCCTCACAGCCCATCCGCAGCAGCCCGCAGGCCCTGGAGCCCGGGCCTCACTAAGCACATAAGCCCTGGCCTGATCCGCTAAGCCACCGGGCCAGGACAGAAGGCAGGGGACAGCCTCTCCAGCATGGTCTGGTCAGAACCCACCACGCCTCAGGGTCAGCCAGGGGACCGGAGGGGCATGTGCTGAGGGGCCAGCAGGGACCCCGATCACGGCAGGTCCCCTGGAGTGACGGCCCCGCCCCCCAGGGCGGACTCGGCAAAGGAGCAGCCAGTGAGCACCAGCACAGACCCTGCTTCAGAGCTGAGGAGGCCAAGGTCCAGCCTGGGGGAGGCCCTTAGCAGTGTCACTCCACTACAGAGCAGGAGCCAGGTCACCCTGCCTGCCTGTCCCTCCCTTCTGTGACTGTCACCCTGGGCAGGAGCTCTGGCATGGGAGAGTCCTGCTGACCCCATGGCACCCACAGGGTCGCCCACACTGCCCAGCATGGAGCCTACGCACAGCAGCCTCAGCGACGAGCAAGTGAGAGGTCAAGGCAGCACAGCAGGAGCCACCAGGGAGGGTCCCAGGCCACCAGGCCCTGAGCACAGGATGGCCTAGTCCGCTCCACCGGGGCAGGCGCCGACTCCCAAGGCTCCCCAGAGAAGTCACCTCCGCCCCTCCCATGGAGCCGAGGTCCCCCAGAGGGAGGACAGTGCACCCCTCGCACAGGGAGCCGAGACCCCAGCCCAAGACTGACTGGCGGCCTTCAGGACAGACCCTGTCCCGACCCAACCGAGACCAAAAGAATCGAGTCAACAGAGCAGGTGGCATTCAGGTCAGGGCACCCTACCCTGCTAGCGTGGGGTGACCACCCCAGTCCTGGGGCCTCTGTGAGCTTAGGGGACTGACCACCCGGCACTGTGCCAGCATGCATCAGAGGCAAGCGGGTCTTGGGGAGCCTGTGAAGCTGAGCACAGGACCCCCAAGATCTGCTGTGTCCACCAGTGACTGCTAGACTCCTTGGCTCTGCACCCAGCCTCCCTCCCGCAGGTCACGGGGTCCTCTAAGCTGACTCCCTCTGCACGTCCCCCAGCCACTACGGCCAACCCTCCAGCTCCTGGGGCTCCCAGGTCACTGTGGTACTCTCCCCGACCCTCAGCCTCCGGCTCGGGTCTGAGCTGCTCCAGGAAGGGACAGTGTGACCTGAAACTCCTCTCCCACCCAGGCTGGCGTCCCACAGCACAGCAGCGTCCTGGGGCACCTGTCTGCAGTCTCCAAGGACCGGGTTTGTCCGCGAACCTCGACCTTGTTCTCTACTTTGCGGGACTGAAGAGGAAACGCCTGGGAAGGGGAAGTGACACATCCAAGGTCACAGAACTGCCAAAGACACGGCCTGGCTCCCGGGGCCTTTCCAGTAATTTTGAGTCTGCAAGAAAAGCATCAAGAGCCTCCCACTGAGGTTACTGCTTTTATTATCGCCTGTTCCGCCCAAGTGGGAACACAGGGCAAGCTTCCCCGCCCAAGGCCACCGGAGGGGGGCACTGGGGCCCCAGAGCTCCTAGCGGACGCACACCCTCAGCCCCTGCCTGCCACTAACTCCGGCAGTCACAGGGGCCAGCTCCCTGACGACCCCTTCCCACTCCGCAACGCAGCTCAGGGAGAGGACGAGAAAAGCCCCAGGAGGACTGTGTCACCGCTCCCTGGGCCAGGCCGGAAGATCAGCAGGGGCTGCACGGACGGCAGGCGGTGTCAATGCACTTAGACCAAGAGGCTTAGGGTTTCAGGGCGAGCTATGCGGGGTCAAGGCCACCACGCCTCCCCCGAGCTGAGGCCAGATCTCCACTGGATCCTCGCCGTCCACCGTGGGGCCCGAAAGCTGGGATCCGCACAGAAGCAAGCCACGGAGCCGCCCCTTCCCGGAGCCCGGGCCAGCTCGGGGTCGGGCCTCCGCCTCCCACACCGCCCGGGTTCATCTCCGGGACCTGGTGCTCAGCACGGCCCTGGCCCTGAGCAGGGCCTCCAGTGCTCCGCTCGTCCTCCTGCGTCTGCAGCCTGACACCGCACGGCCCGGCCTTCACCTCCGGGAACGGAGTCCTTCCCGCCTCTGCGGCCGGCTGGCTCCGGGCTGGGGTGGGGGCGGGGTCCGCGTCCAGCTGGGGAGAGGCCCCAGCGCCGGCCACGCGGCGCTGACCTTGGCCACCCGCCGGCCTGGGCTCTGAACGGGCCCCGCCGCCGGAACCCGCGTCATTACCCGCGGATCAAAGGCCAGCGCCCCCGCCCAGGGCAGCAACGGGCCGGCCGCCCGAAAAGGGGAAGGAAGGGACACGGAGGCCGGGGCCCGAGGCTGCGCCCGACCGCCG